AGATCACTGGTTCAAATCATGTGATTCGGCTCAGTATTTCGAATTAAAAGATTGAGTTCTCTATTAGAATCAAGTAATTTGAATCAGTTTTTCGAACCAAGCGATTGAGATCAGTAATTCGAATCAAGATATTTGAATTGTTAATTCGAATCAAGTGATTTAAAGTGTACTATAGGATTCAAGTGATTTGAATCAAGTGACTCGGACTAGAGATTCAAATTAGGAGATTCGGATCACATAATCAGATCACTGATTCAAATCAAGTGATTCAGATTACTCAAATTGAATCAAATTATTCATATAGCTGTTTGGAATTAAGTGACTCAAATCACTTCTGATCATGTTATTCGGAATCACTGATTCAAAATTAAGGGTTTAAATCATTATTCGAATCAAGTGATTCAGATCAGTCATTCAAATCACGCGATTCATATCAGTGATTCGAGTTAAATTAATCGAACACTTCATTTCGTAAAATATCTCCATTTCTTATTCATATGTCTCTTATTTCGGTTAAAAAGTTAGGTTTGAAAATTTAAGCTAGAAGTTGACATTTTATCCTCATATTAAACAATTGCAGAAACGTCATGAACATGTTAAGCGTTCTCTCAAATAAACATTGAGGTGCAGATCGTATGCAGATGATTACGACGTGCAAATGATTACCATTGCGTAGTACATGGAAGTGTTCCTGCTGCTCACTTAAAAAGTTTGGATTCAGTGCTATCTAGTGACGCATTTTGTGCTTTTCCAGTGGAAAGCCTTTATGCTGCATCACCAATTACCTTTAGATTTGAGACTCATACAACTTTCTCTTACATATTACTTTCGCTTAATGTCGTATTCATCGCATTCCCTTAAGCGCTAAGCACTGCCTACAAATTTACAGCGGTCTTATGATCACATGACCCTCACATGTTCGAGCTTTTAATGCTCGCATGCACTCACTTATACAATCATTCAATATCTAAGATTTGCCGACACAATTAGTCGATGATTTGCTTATTCCATCTTGAAACATTTCACAATACCATTTGATGTAAGTCTCATGTAGCGCCTACAATTTTTCAGCAATGCTCATCATCATCAATACTGTTAATATGTTCCGGTTTTAACAGATGGCACAATATCTCTTGGCTATAAAGGATGTGGTATCATTATTACTGATTCAAATTATTGATTCGAATCAATTGATTCAGATCAGTGAGTTAAATCACGTGATTGCATATCCGGATTGAGAATCTCATTTCCTATTTCACGAGGCAAAGAAGTTGATAAATTAGTCAACAGCGAATAAAAAAGTTTATCATGTGTTAGTAAATTATGCAGGGCCATCCGTAATAATGGCAAAGGATTTGACTTTCAACCAGATAATGATCCAAAGCACACATCAAAACTTTATGCCAATTAATTAAAACGGAGCAACACAATAAAAGCCTATAAAATTGAGCATTTTTTTTATTGAATTTTGCAATGATTGGGAGTAACTTTACACATTTTTTTTCGTAATGTGCGGATTAAAATCTTAATTTTATCATGTTGCAATTATCCATATTTTATATCATATTTATTGCATATCATATTATATATCATATTTTTTTAACTATCCATAATTTGTTGTACTCATATGTAGAAAAAAAATCATTCAAATATGATCCCGTTTAATGATTTTTTTAAACTACATAAATGTAGTTTTTTTTTTTTTTTGCAAGTAGGATTTTTAAATACTTTTAACGTAGGATATTTAATCTTGTTTTAAAGAATAGTTGCGGAAAAAAATTTAAAATAATTATATTAAATAAGATTCATATCTGTTGATTACTCAAAACCAGTCAACCCAATTAAAAAATCATTACGTACAATAAAAACTATATTTATTATGAACATTGTGTCAAAATTTGAAGAAAATTGATTGAAATTGTACTAGTTTGAGATACAGCAAGTAAGAGGGACATAATTTCGAGTAAATTGCGTTTAAAGTTTTGTGATCAATATTCCAAATAACTATTTAAAATTTTGCAACAAACTATAATGTATCAATATCAGATCCATAAGATGCTTCTTTTCCATTTTCAGCTGCCTCAAGTGCTGGTCTCTAGCCTTTTTTCTGTGCTGATTTGCCCTCATGTGAAGCCTCCTATGTTTTTAGAGTAGCACCTGAAAATCTGCTATCATCTTCATTTTGAGCATATTCTTTGGTTGCAGGGCTACATTTATTTCTAATTGTTTGGCTACATTTATTTCTAATTGTTCCATAACTTTAACGCTTCGCAACCTTCATCAAAAATTATTACCTCCAAATAAGTTGCAATTTTAATTATTTTAGGCTTTCTGCGACAAACCTCTCTAGCACCAATATCTATCTGCCAGATACTTTTAATAATAACCAATATACATATTGCTAAGTTAAAGTAACAAAAACGTTGCGTTTACAAAAATAAAATTTAAAAAAAAACCTATTTAGATAAAATAATATTGCTTATATATAAATATTTTTTAAATGAATATGTAATATCTTTTTATTCTATTATCAGGGACGATATTCTCATATTTTGTAGGAGAAAAACACACTAATTATTTCCTTTTTCTCCTTTCGCAAATCAATACATAACATTAAAAAAAATTATTAAAAAATCGTGAAATCCGTAGCAGCAACTACCGAAAAAACGATAGACACAGAAATCACGTGAATCAGATTCTTTAAAAAAAGGGGTACTAAATACGTGTTTCGTTTCTAGACTTTGTTGTTGTAATAAATAATATCGTATTAAAAATATGGGATTTTAAAAACTGTGTGGACTGTTTTAAAAAATTTCTGCGTGAACTGTTTTATAACTGTTTAAAAAAATGTCCTCATGAAAAAAGCGATAGAATCATTGCTTTGAAGATTAAATATTCATATGCGTGATTCGAATTTCCCATATTGTTAGAAATATACCGGGATATTTAAAAACCACGTGACAGTCAATATCAATAACTGCCAAAAATACAATCGAAACACTATATGGAATATTCTTTCTGCAAGAACTCTAACGTTCTACGATAATGTCACCGTGATTCTGCCACGGGGATTTATATTGAAAGTACCATTAAGATGAGTCGGAAGGGCATATATGAATAAGGCTAAAACTGACCTTTTTTGATGTACCTTTTATAAGAAACTACTTATAATATCGTTTCGAAATTTTTGGGGGATATATGAGATTATATCAGTTGTATGCTGTGGTCATGTTTCAATGTTAACAAGAATACTTTTTGAGATTTGAAAGGTTTTTTTAATCAAAAATGATTAAACTTTTTAAAAAATTAAAAATTCTCAGTTCATAGTTTTTTTAAAAAATTTTCCACCAAAGATAAGTATTAACAGTTATCACAATTAAAACATGGATATGTAAATATTCTGCGAAAAAAAAACTGAAGCAATGTCTTGTTTAGATGCTGAGAAAAGGCTTTTTAGTATTAGGTCATTTTTAGCATTATTGATATATGCCCTACCGACTCCCCTTAATTCTTTTTCTTACATAATTTAGACAAATCATTCCACTAAAATAGCTAAAATAATAGTATTTTACTCAAATATTTTGATTGGAGTGAGCATTAATGAAATGAGCGCATAAATTCATTTCTTCATACAAGTCACTTCGCATCCTGAAACTCGTGTCGCGCTAGACGTATTATGCACAATAATCTTAAAAGGATAAACTATAAATTCATAAATTAAAATTTTTTTTTAATTTTACTGTGTTGTTCTCTCTAAAAAACGAAAGAAGAATAAAACGTCCTCAAATCATGACTCCACAATCACTAGTTGTTGCGTAGTTATCAGCTAATTTATTTATTAATACAGCAGGATAAACTTAGTTTGTAAAGATAATAAATGCAACACAGATGTATATCTAGATATTAGTGAAACCTTTTCAGCCAATAAACAGTTGTTACTATTTAATGTATAAGTAATAATGTCACCAATTATAAATACATTATTACTTGAATAAAAAATTTTAGCATCACATGAATCATTTAAATTGTTATAAATTAAATTTATAAAGAAAATCTAATAACAGTCAAATATATAGTTTTAAATAACTTAATCAAAACCACAAATAGCGTTATTTAATTAGTTAACATTTTCGAGAAAATTTTATACAAGTTCTAAAAATTATCAATCAATTATTCTCCTTATCTAATAAAGCTTTCTTTTTAATCTTTCTTTTAAAGTATAGCGAACATTCTACCATTAAGAGTAACCATCAAGAAAGCGTAAAAATTGTCTTCGAATTTCCATGAGATTTTCGAAATTAATATTTTTTTACTTAAAGAAATATTTAAAATCTTATCTTTCTTATCAATTTTTGTTGCTACAATTATTACAACCCAAGTAATAAGCATTTACAAAAAAACATTAGCGTTAATGAAAATATACAAGTTTTTGCATTAAATGCATTTTGTGTTAAGGTTTACATCATAACTAAAAACTTTTAATCCCAAAGTCTTAAAATTTTATGCACTCCTCTCTTATAACTTTCTTATAATATTAGACTAATTTTTTTTTATATAAATTTGTAAGTTTTTTTTACTTGAGCAATTTTTATTAAAAATTAACTGTAGTTTCTTAATTTTTTTTTTTACATAATGCTAATAAAAATGCCAAAAATTATAGTTCCGTTAATTGAAAGCTCAGCCTTTAGTCTAATTTTAAGACACTGTAATTACAAGCATAATTCAACAAAGGAATTCATGTAAAAAAATTCAATAACTTAATTTTAAAAATTTATAATTGGTATTGGAACGTAATTTTATGAAAACAGCATTTTTTGCAATGTATTCCCAAAAATTTGAAGGAAAAAAAAAATGATTTTATCAGAATGACTACACAAATACAGTTTCCATCTGCAACACATATAAAAAAAATAAACTTTTTCAGATCTTTTTTTAAAAAAAAGTTTGCGAAGATGTCTGTGAAGGTTTTCAATAAAATATTTTAAATGAAAAGAGATTACCTTTTGAGAGTGTTGAAGGGAAGTGATGTTGTCGGTTAATGAGAGCTTCAGCAGGAAACATGATAACAGAAGCCACTATTCTATTGGCTGACAAACAATGGCATATGGACACCATATCTCATACCTTCCAGCACCATTTTTACTTAGAAATATCGAAGAATATACGATAAAATATTTACTTCATATAAATTAACTAACATTTTTATTGCATAAAAAAATAATAAATTTTAATTTTTAGCAATTTTCACATATTTATAGTGTTTCACATTTTGATCATGAAACAAATTTCATTAGATTTAAATAACATATTTTTTTGCTATAAAACTGTACAAAATGTTGCATGAATTCCTACCTTTTTCATAATTTTTCATTGTATTTAAAATCTCCGATCAATGATTCAATTCCATTTTTATATAGTAAAGACATGACAACAGAAAAAAGAAATATTGTTATTTATGGGATAATGATAGTAGATTGAGAATACATTAATATCTCTTCCTAGGAGCACTTCTAAGAATTTCATCAGAAATAAATTATTGTTAAACATTCATTTCTCTTAAATTTATTTTAAATAATTAATTTGTATATGGCAAATATTTAGTTATTCTTGAAATCTAACTTAATTTTAGATTTATATAGTAGTTTACTCATTTTATAACTAATAACTAACATCATTATTTTTTTATAAATTTATTAATATATTTATTTTATTTATATATTTGTTTAATTTATGTATTTACTTAATTTATATATTCATATATTTATTTGTTATTGCACCCTAAAATATAAAGATTTTGTTTCGATATTCTTTTAGATATGAAATACAAACTTGCAAATTGGTCTTTATTTTACTTTAGAACTTTCTACTAGATTTTATTACTCACAACATTAATGTACTGTGCACAAAATAAGAAAGATATCACCCTGAATAACTTTCGTTCTAATGATCATATTATTACGAACAAAGCGTCAATCTTAATAGTTTCTGGGGGTAATCTCAAATATGTCAATTAATTAGTGCTAACTATTAATTAAGTTAAGAAATAAAACATAAAAACGTACTCTCTCTCTGAACAAACATGTATTTTTCTTCACATATTTGGATTCCTATTTCACAAAATAGGGGAAGACAAAATTTCGAAAAAATTGGTTCATAAATTTGGGGGGTTAGGAGGTCCCAATAAACAGCCAAGCAATATCACCATCGCAAGTGGAGTACATTAAGATAACCATACTAATTCAAGCGAGCAATACCTAATTTTTCTCAGTTACTAATTTACCAAGTTGAGGCAGTAAAAACGAATGAAATAAAAACTGTACTTGAATAAATGTTGAATGGTGCATTAAACATTTTGTGATAAATCGGAAAAGTTTATTTATTAATAGTTATAAATATTTATTTATAAATGGAAAATATCTCGAAGTTTCTAAGCAACAGGCATTTTTGGTCAGATTTTTTACCAAACGGCAAAGACAGATTTATTTTTAATCTCCTTTGAAAATAAAATTTTAATTGATTCATAAATTATTCATGATAAGCCAAGAATTTAGAATTTGAACACATGAACTTTTTATACGACATTATTTGTGTTTGTTACGTTATTTTTGCTTCATTTATAAGGAGGATTATTTATTTAATTCATTTTTATGAGGATTTTATACTAAAGTTAAATTTACATAACTTTTTATAATTATATGCAAAATTATAGGGCTAATCATTTTTACAGCTTTTGTCGAGACAATGAAGCTTAGAGAGACTAGAAAAAGGTACATGAAAAAAAAGCAGAGGATCTAAGAGAAATTATAATTATTAGAATGCACATTTCAACAAGGTTTTATACGATTTAAGATATTTCTTTTATCTATAACTGAAGAAATTTGTAAATTCTAAGCAACATTTTAAAAACATTTAAAAATGTGTGTTTAAAAATAATATGTTGGATATTGTATGATTCATTGTTTATTCTGCTGCATTCTGACAAATATTCAAGTTACAGAGCTTTCTTTGGATAAAAATGATTTGCAAATAGCATTCTAATGTCCAATGTAATGATACATTTTGAAACTCATTTTCTCAAATTCATCAAAAATGTCACTCAACACGTTCTTTATTACGATCAGTTACATTTATCACCAACATTTATCACCTACATTATCACTACTCTAATTTCTTTGGTTTTTTTCAGTGGCGTGCTTAGAGTTTTAATGTTTCTGAGCGAAACATTGAAGCATTTTATCATGGTCAATAAAAATCAGGTTTTGCTTAACAAAGTATATATTAGACATCGTATTTTTTTATTTCAAGCAGATATATTTTTAAATTATTTTCGCGTTCAACGGTCAAATTTCTTACAAAATATATAAATAATACATAATAACAATAATACTGTAATTAAAATTCTTAATACCACCAATTATAAAAAGATTAATATTATTTTATCAAACTAAAACCATTGATAAATTGCAAAGGTTGAAAAGCAACTTATCGAATGAAAAGTTAATTAGTTAAGAACAGAAATATCTTTAAACATAAATTATTCTTGGCAGAACAAGTCTTTAAATTTTATTTACAAGTAAATACCCTAACTAACCTAGTGCATAAAATTAAATGGGTATAATTTATATATATTCATTGATAATAAAACAACAGATTATTTTACCTACAATGAGCACATTGAAATACAAATTTGTTCGAAATGTATAATGGAAAATTATAAATTAAAAGTTACATTATCTTCATTTAAGCTCTTGAACAAAATAAATAAATTTAAAAAAAGATAATATTTTGAAGATAATATTAAATTTTTCCTTAATACTACACTGAAAAAAAAGTATAATCAAATTAAAAGAATACGGTTCAATTTACCGTACTTCTGCCTCTATAGGAACACAGAAAAACTTGGCAATTTTTGCAAAATCGCTTCAATAATGACTTAATGATAAAATAAAATTAACAATAACATATTGTTTTTATTATCATGCTCTTTTGTAGTAAATGCTGTAAAATTAGGTAACTTAAAGCAAAAGTCGGTAATTTTGGCAGTGCTATTATTGTTTAAGATCACGCAAAAATGTTAAGTTTGATAACCTCTATTTTACTTAGCAATTATTTTATAACTCTGTTTCTCGTCGGTTATTTGCCTCTTTTTTTTCATGTAAGCTCTAAGTTAACATCAAACAACAATTAAATTATAAAAAATATGCACTTGTAAATCTACAAATGCCTGGAAAAGGCTGAACCAAATCAGTAACTCAAATAAGTACTACATCAGGGTAAATAAAAATGATCACTTCATGACTTTCTCAACATCCTAAATTGGAAGTGGAAAGGGTTCAAATCCCACGGAATCTGGATGCGCACTTTGGATACATGTATTTATTTACATTTTTTTATTGTTACGCACACATACACGGGAGTGAGTGCTCATTACAAGGCTCGACTAATATACACTGGTCTAGTCAATATACAGATAGTACAAGATAGAGAAAGAAAGCACAGGCATACAATCTGGGACACGGTAGGATTCGAGCTAGCACGTTGAAATGAATGCATCTTTGTAATATTTTTCTCTAATTTGAGCAATATTTTTTTAAAATTTGAATAGATCTTATAAAGGGTGTTTTGTAAGGAGCACACTAGTCCTCATATGTATGTGTAACAATAAATATAGGACAAAATAGATTTTTGTTGTTGTTGTTGTTAATTTACGTCGTACTAGAGCTGCACAATGAGCTATTGGTGACGGTTTGGGAAGCATCCCTGAGGATGATCCGAAGACATGCCATCACAGTTTTGATCCTCTGCAGAGGGGATGGCATCCCCACTTCGGTAGCCCGACGACATGCACGCGAAGTCGAGCACTTTACGGTAGAACAGTTTAACGAGGACCAATACCACACACCCTCGGTCCCTACACAGACTGATCCAAGTGGTCACCCACCCGCACACTGACCGCAGCCAGTGATGCTTGACTTCGGTGATCTGCTGTGAACCGTGTCTTAACGATCAGTTCACTGTGGGACATAGATTTTTGCAATAGTAATGATTTTTTAAAAATATTTTTACACGTCTCGTCTTTTCACCAAACGCTATTTAAAATGGTGGCAGCGGGTTCGAACCAAAGCGTAAGCATGGATGCAGAATAATAAATAAATGAATTTGGTTTAAATACATATGCAGGGTCGAGTGCTTAATGCAAATAATTGATTGTTTCTTGTCAAATTGCAGAACAGGTATCATAAAAAAAAGGACAGCGTAAAATTAATGAACCCACTACTTTCATACCTCCGAGCGTTTTGCAGAAGGACAACAGCCCACGGCAGTGGACATATACTATATATAACGGTCAAATTTNTAGTTATTAAAATCAGCTGGAGGATCTTTCAGATGATGAAATTTGATTTGTTAACAGGGAAGAGAACTGTTTTTTTTTTTAAACTGAAATTTATTCAAAATTTTAACAATTTGGGGACTTTTCTGTGATATTAAGTTAAAACAATTTAACAAAGTTTATATATATATATATATATATATAAACTATGTACGTATGAAGTTGGAAACTATGAACCCTTACGCAAATTTAAGGTAATTTTGAGGTTGTTTTGAGGTGTTGAGGTTATTTTGAGATATGTATGATGTATATTTGAGGTTTGTAAGAAACAACCATAAAAAATTATGTCTCATAAAGATCGTAAATGAGGTGTGCGAGGTTGTTTCACATGCACGTCAGCTAAGTTTGAGGTTGTTTTAAATTCTCTTCATATCAACAAGGCTGATGAGGTGATTTTCTGGGAATACAGGTTGTTTTTCTGACACTTATGAAAAACGAGGTATTTATGAGATATAAAAAAATTACCTTATTTCAACTAGAGAGAGTCAGATACTTATTGAGGTGTATGAAGTCACACACATTTTATTTGTACCTAAACATATTTGGAAGCTGTTTAAAGTTGACTTCAAATCAACTAGACTGATGAGGTGATTTTTAAGATACCCTTAAGTAGCACCTAATTTTAGATAACATCAGAAAAGCACTAAATATAACGTTATCTTGCGCAACTTTCTAATATTAGAAAGATACAAAA